AACTATTGTATTATACACCTTAATGGATGAATTGTATGATATGAGAATTATATCTTGAAAAGCTGCTTTTAAAAGTATATAGATAGTGGGGGGGGGGGGTAAGAGATCAACCGAAGGACTTTTATGCATACAGATAAGCATAACCAATGGACATAAGACACTGGGGGGTGGGGAGGCTGGGGGATTGTCAAGGGGGGGAAAAAAAGGAGACATATGTAATACTCTTTGTAATACTTTAAGCAATATATATATATATATATATATGTATATATATATATAAATTAAAAAAACAAAAAAATAAAAGTATATAGATATATGTACAAAAAAAACTTGAAAGCCACTAAAAAGGTGAATGTAGTTATCTTTGTGTAGAGGAATTCAGGTGATTTGTTTTTCTAGTTTATTTTCTAATATACCTACAGTGATCACATATTAATAGCACAATAAACAATTGTGTGTTTTTTTAAAGTACTGACTGGCTATTTGATAATTTCAATGAATTATTGTTATTTTTTAGGTATAATAATGGCATTGTGGCTATGTTGTACGCATAAAAATGAGAAAAGAATCTTCATATTCCAGAGATACATACAGGTGAAGTGATATAATGTCAGCGGGATGATGGAAGGGGTATTGGTGGGATAGTTTTACCTAAATGAAAGTTGTTAAATCTAGGTGACCGTTTATACTGGGCTCCTTAGGTCGTTCTGTATCCTTTTGTAGACGTTTGAAATTCTGTATAATAAAAAAGTCAAAGAAAAGATAGATCCTGAACACAATGGACAGTATAGTTCTACTTTGGCTCTTAAAAAAGTTGAGTGTGCACAGGAACAGAAAGAGAGCTGAAGGAAATGCAGCAGAGAGCACACACGGATGATTCTCTTTGGGTGGTGGCATTAGGGTCGGCAGTACTTTCTTCTTTGTGCTTTTGTGTGTTTTTCAAATATTCTACAATGACGACATGTTGGTTTTGTGAAAGTTAAACAATTACTCCCTAAAAATGTTTCCCCGTGTCCAGAGCAGGCACCTGAATAATAACACATAATGTAAAATGGAATGCAAATGTTCCCTCTGGGCTCGCAGCCTGAGGCAGCCAGCAGAGGCCATGAATGGCTCTTCTAAAAGCCAGGCACTTGGACTTCTTCCCTGGAACATCTCAGAGCCACAACACACATTCTAGAAGCTGCCCAGACTGTGTGGGCATAATCTGGAGCATTCCCAAAACCATTCACAAAGTAGATGGTTTAAAAAAAATCAACTTTTGGGTGAGAAACTGAGATACTACCAAGTTTGTCACTTCAATTTACATTGCATTTGAGTTCACCAGGTCTTCAGGTAAGCAATTAAAAAAAAAGTAGGTGTTCTAGAGGTTTATGTAACTCTTAGAAAAGACGAAAAGGAAAGATTTTTTTATACAAAATAACTGTCACATGCAATTGCCTTATTAGGGAAAGTCAAACCCAATTACAGCAATGCCAGGAGAACATGGCATGAACAACCACTGACCTCCATGAGTGCCCGCTCTCCCCTACAATTCCTAAATCTGTGCTTCTATCACATACCAACTTAGTTGCATCTATTTGTAAATATCTTATCAGCCTTGTGGATGCAAAAATCAAGTCTTTGACTCCTTAGAAAGTTTTGCACATTGTAGGCAATTAATCAATGGTTCAGATCGTCAAAAGTACGTAACATCGATGAGAGGCTATAATGATGGACATATTATACCATTCTCGAAGATTTTATTGAAAATCTAGGAAAACTACAGGTGCATCATGGTCACACTGGTAAGAAAAAACGCTTAACTAGAGATAAATCAATAATAGTTAGAAATCCCTTCTTTTCAAGAGACTACATGTTGGAAGAAAAGGGGTTGTTATATGTAGTGCTCTCCCATATTCTTGAAAACATCCTATTCTGCAAAACTGTATACTAAAAATAACAGAACTTACGAGTAAAAGACTGTTAACGCCTGCGAGAAAGTTTGTAACTAGAGCATATCCAAAACATTAACAGTACTACTTAAATTGCTAGCACAGTGAAATCTCTACTGGTGTGTGTATCTCTCACCCTTATCGACCTTGAACCCTAGGGCTTCTGCTTCTTTGAGATGAAGGTCCTGGAGGGTTTTGGTTTCCAATGGAGACTATTTTCATGAAATTTAACCCAAGGATTATTAATCCATTGATTTTCATTAATTCCCTCCATTGTTTTAATGCACACAGGGGTAATGTCTTTGCAGCGTCTTCGTGTGCACTTGTAGCATTTCATATAAGGCACCGCTTGCAGGAAAGGAAGATATTGCTGGGGATTCCTCATTTTTTCCTTAGTCTTCATAGTTTGCTAAGCGTAACTCTTTAATTGTGGAAAACTTGTCTTTGTTACAAAACATGTAATGTGCTGGGCAAAATCATGCTGGAACCAACACAACTTTTGTTATACTAATTATGTTTAAAAAAACAAAACCAACCAACGTTTTAAAAGACAAACTGGTAAGTGGCTAATCCAGGTACTGGTAAGTGGCTAATCCAGGTACTGGCATATGTGACCCTAGTTTATAGTAGCAGCCATTGTAACAGCTGTAGGCTTACTATGTACCAGACAGGATGCTAAACACTTTCTAACTTTCTATGAATTGTTTCATTTATTCTTCATAAGACTCTATGAAGTAAATAAAATGGATATTTTGAGATTAAGTCTTAATCTCTGTCCAAGGTTACAAAGGTGTTAAATGGTAAAGCTAGGATTTGAACCTAGATAATTCTGACTCAACAGCTTCAGCTTTTAATAACCACAATTAAATAATATTTCTTCTCATCCAATGGAAGCAAGAAATAATTGTATAATAGTAACCGACAATGTCGCTATTGCTCTACCAACTGGTACGTGTATAGACGTTGATATGATGTATGTGCCTAGAAAACCTCTAAGCATTCGTAGAGTGCTTATTATTTTTCCAGATTTAAGCTTTCTGGCTGGGATGTGAGGGAAATCTTTGGACATGGCCAAAGGAGAATTCCAGAAGTATGACACCTCCTTCTCAGTTCTTTCCAGCTGGGTCAGAGGCCCATGGAGATGACTCAGACTGTGCAAGGGCCTTGGAATGGACGCAGAGACACACTTCTGAACACCACAGAAGACATCAGACCGCAGGGGGTGGGGGTGAAGGTAATTATGACTGGGGAATTCATACCCAACGAGAGCCAGGACTGCAGGTATGGATGCCAACAAAAGAATGTTGGTGGAATTTTGACTCTTCATTTAAATTCAACTTAACAATTATGAATTATGCACTTACTATGTGCCTGGAATATAACTATGCCAAGTGTTGAAAACTGCAAAACGGAATAATCCATCAAAACCTCACAGGCCTCTGGAGCTTAACTATAGGCGTTTCATTGAACAAACTGCCAGGCACTGTTCTTGGCACTTTACACATATTAACTCATTTAATTCTCACAACCCAATGATATCTGACCTAATATTCTCCCTATTTTATAGCTAAGAAACTGAAGTGCAGAGAGATTAAGAAACCTGTCTAAAGTCACATAGACAGGTGAGCAATCAGGACTTAACATTTGGTTGTAGCCTCTTTGAGTCCTGAGCCTACATGCTTAACCTTTCCCTGAACTCTCTCTCTAGTAGAGGGAAATAGTGGGGTTAGATATAGGTACACAGGGGAACACTGACAGAGGAGAAAGTGGCCAATTCTGTTTTGGGGAGAATGGTGTCTGACAGGAGAGCCAAGTCAGCCAAGCCTTTTTTAGGTGGGAAATATTAAAATAGGTTTTTAAACAGGAGGCGGGGGCAGTGATATCATCCAATTTGTCTTTTTAAATCTAGCTGCAATATGAAATATGGAATGATGTGGAGAGAGGGCAAAACCCAGAAGTGAGAGACCGTAACAGCAGCTTCCGGGAGAATATGGCGGTAAGAATGGGGCAGGGGGCTGAGTAGAAATATTTTTTGAGTTGATTCAGGTGTGAAGCTAGAAAGCTGAGGTAGGAGGTTTCCTTCTTAGAGTAAAGCTTGATACGTCCCGAAGCCCTCACTATGTGATTTAAGTCAGCCCTAGACCCTTGCCCGGGAAAACAGACTTATGGGGCACTGCATTTTTAGATGTATGGAACTCAAATGTAGTTAATACCCGATTCCTGACATCATTTTCACCTTCCCTCCTGTAGTGTCTAAAGCTCCCGCTGAAGAAAACAGCAATACTTCACTCTGCTGATGATTATTGGTTTCATAATGTATCATCCACCGACCCAATGCAACTCGGCCTACGAGCTGGGGCCCACTGGCAGATAATTGACACCTGGTGTCCGGCACTGTAATAATGATCATTTATCTCAGTTTATCTTCTTTTAAAAATAAAAGATAAAAATGTTAGTCCTCACCAGAGGATATCTTTCCATTGCTTTTAGATAGACTGGAAGGGAAGAAGGGAAGAAGGGAGAGGGGGAGGGAGACATTGATTGGCCCAACAGGGGCTGGGGAATGAACCCCCACAACCCAGGTATGTGCCCTTCTGTGCTCGGGCCGATGCTCTAATCACTGAGCGACCGGCCAGGGCTCAGTTTACCTTATTTCTTGAAGTAACATTCAAGATGGATAAATTATCCCACTCCTAAGATTGGTGGAAAAAACAAAGAACCGAAAGCCAAAAAGAAATTACATTTCCATGCTTATAACTTCCTCCTCTCCCTGAGCTGGTTGGCACCTGCCTTTCCGCTTATTCCAGCCACTAAGTGGGAAGCTCGTGGGCTCTATGGAGCCTGAGCAAGTTCAGGAGCAAAGCCCAGTCATCTCTGGGTGAGGCCACAGCTGGGAGGGTGACTCACGCTGAATCCAGAAAGAAAACAAATGGTCTCAGAAATCTGGTGGTAATGGGGCAGTGGTGGGGGTGGGAGGACATGTGGAGAGGGGCCATTGCCTTTTCCAGGAAACTGGGTAGTGACACAGTTCTGGTGGGAAAAGACTAAAAAGTAAAGTCCACTTACTGATACAAGAAATCAGATCATTAAATCTTTCCTTAGGAAAGAGGGGGTTTTCCAGCCCACGGAAATAGAGCTTCAGAACGCCAGCAACGGAGTTAATATCGTGGTTACTCTGGTCATCGGCCAAGGGGTTTTCACCTAAAAAAAAAAAAAATTAGTTATAGGCACTTTTTACACACACACACACACACACACACACACACACACACACGGAGAGAGAGAGAGAGAGAAACTTCTATATATACATGTATCTTTTAATTATACTTTATGAAAGATTATATGGTACTAAAATTAAAAGAAATGGTTTAAAGATACCACCCCATGATTAACTTAAAAATAGTTGACTAAAAATAAAGCTTTTTAAAAAAAATCTTACACTACCAAATAATCCCTTACAAGCTACCAAAATCCTAAAATAAAATATTGTGGGATTTAAAATTTTACCCAACTTTTTTTTTTTGAGGCTAAAATCTGTAATCTTAGTTTGACATGAATTCAAATACTACATTCTTAACCCACTGGGAAAAAGACATAATACAGGGCTGTCTGGCTATATGGATCAGCAAAACGTATCAAAAATATTACAGGCCCCCTTCCCCCCCGACTGAGGACACCTATGATTAAATTAATAAGTGTTTCCCAAAGTGGCAGGGTGGTGTTCCCAGCATATGTGGAAGCTGCCTTCAGCAGTGGAAGATTTTGAAATCAGACAGTGGGATCTGAAAATGTACCCTTATGTACCAAGGAATTTGTATAGAAAGTGGAAATTTAAAAATATATATATCACAAATATGAAATTATATTATTTCTGTATGGGAAGCAGTTTAAAAATACTAGTTAAGTGGCCTGGCTAGTCCACCTCCCTGAGAAATGGAGATAAAATCCTTAAATTCAACATAATAGTATGCAGTCTTAAATCGAACACTATCTTTTGTTCACAAGACTGCTCTTCTAAAGTTCACAAAAATTGCACACTGCATTTTAACTTGTTTGGGTTTTTTTTTTTTTTTCCTCTTGAGGCAGTTTCAGGGACATGTTTGTTCCCGTTTCTCTGCTTCTTGGTGGGAAATCACTGACCAAAAATTTACCAAAATGTATATTTTTTTTATCCAATGTGACAAAGCCTCACCCAAAGAGGTCACAAACAAATAACAAATATCAGGGGAATTTCCAAGGAAAGCTAATGATGCCTGTGGCGGCTGGCATGGGAGCCCGAGGCTTTACTACATTTCAGCTTCTCCTGAATGTGGTCCATGTTCGAGACTTGGAACCCTGAGCTGCTGACAGGGGAGGCTGCTCCGCTCTACACATCATATCAGTCTGAGAATTTGGAACAGGAAAACCATCTGGCTCCAAGTTTACTCTGCAACCAAGGTTTCAGAATTTCAAGGGCTCTCTGCCAAGCCGGGGCCGGGGGAAGTGGGAGCGGGAGAGAAAGCAGCCCTGTCCCCTCGCCACGATGCCCCTCCCTCTGCACTCTCCGCCTGGCTTCCGTGCAGAGGAAGGAAGGGGCAGGTGTATACAGACCATTATAACTGGAGAGCGTTAGTAACTAAGAGCCGTCACTAAAGAGCTAGGCATTTTCACGGATTACGCCTAATCCTCCACACCAACCCTGGAATTTTGCAGATGCGGAAACCGAGGCCAAAGTAAGAGATGAGTAACTTGACCCAAATTAGGAAATGGAAAAGCCTGACTGGATTCTAGGTCTGCCTGACACAAGAGTATGGTTTTGCTAATCATACTGGGCTAATGAACAGTGTAGTAGGACTTATGTGACAGCCAATTGTGAACAGCAGTAAGGTACCGCTGGTCACAGGGAAGGAGCCTGGGGGTGGAAGGAAAGAGTTCCCAACAAGGAAACAGACATGAACCTTAAACACCTGCTCGCTAGGCCCAGGGCTGTCCTCGCCACCCACCCAGGGCCCCTCCTGGGCCCCCTGGACACACACACCGAGGATGATCACTGCCAGTCCTAACCCAGGACACACCCTCATCTGCTTTCCTATACTTGATGACAAAGCCTTATGCAAGATTATATGGTACTTCATTTCTTAACTATCCTAAGTAGATTCTTACCTCAATTTCCAAAATGAAATAAATGCAAAGAGAAAGGTTCTGAGATATACAGAGTGAGGATGCCACCTCACTCTACAAAAAATGATGGCTTGTCCCCTGACTTGCTCAGAGGGATAGACATGCACTTACCTCTCTCAAATGAATTTTTAATGTCATTGACTTCCACCTGGGAACCGGACACTCTGAAAATCCCCTGATGCTGAAGACCTAAAGAGAACAGGAGGGGAACAGAGTGAAAGATCCCCTATCTCCTCTAGGTCCCCCCTTTCGCATGAATTGAATATTCAACGGAAAGACACATTTACTGAAATATTCCCAGTGATTATTTTTAAAAATAAGAATTCCGTAGTTCATGGCTTACCATAGAGATTGATGAACCGAATACAACTTTCCACAATGAGGGGGATAATCTGTCCCGAGTCCTGCGTAAAGAGGCAGAAACCAGTTAACAGCCCAGGAGAGGCATAAGTCACACATCGTAATAACGCTCACGGTTTAACTACAAGGAGTGCACAAGCATTGATCATCTGAAAGGTGATCATTTCCAAATACGCCCTACCCCCCCGCAAATAGTACACAAGGGCCAAAATTAAAATTAAATTTAACCAGAGGTATGTTTCAGTTCTGGAGCAAACCAAATAAAATACCTTTAAAGCAATCCTGCTTCAACTCGACTCTGCTGTGCATCTCTTTTACTTGCACTTAGGCTCACATAGCAAAAGGAATATATGAATCACTCACTGTTTAAAAGGCTATTTATAAAGTTAATCTAATGGACTTAAAAAGAACGGTGTAAACTAGTCACCAAGCACAACCTTTCAGCCTTCCGGGATCCTCGCTGGGACATCCTGAGAGGCTCACATATTCCCAGAGGCACGATATGACAATTGCTTTACAGGTGCTTGTAATGGGCAATGTGTTTATTTAGTTTGCATCAGAACTTACTCATCCTGATTGATTTTTCACTGATACCTTTTCATGATTTAAGGATTTTTAAAAAATGACACAAAGGCACATCCCAGTAGATCTCATTTTCGTAGGAAGGAATATTTTTTGGCCATTTCCCCCCACATCTCTGCTGAACAAATGTGAGTATTAGAAATGTTTTAAAACATGGCGAGGATGACAAGTGAGATGAAGGAGCTGCAAGGTCACAGTTAAATGTGTACCAACGCCACGCACTCCATGTCGTTACAGAAGGTTACTGGCGAGGGAGTTGTTTTTCATGTACTTTAGACTCTGCTCTTTCAGAAATTAGATCTTAAAGGAAACATGGAGGTTCGAAATGATTAGCTGACATTAGGTACTAATTCATGAGGAATTTTATTATGAAACACAAGAAGAATTTGGCTGTCTTAACATATTAGAACAATTCAGAATCCACTAACCTTTCCAATTAAGTCACAGGGGAAGGATTAGGAATAATGTGGTTCAGCAAATTAAACTGGTTACTATTCCTAGAATGGGTAATGCACAGCTTGAGGAATAGTTTTATTTTAGGTTTTAAGACAATCTGTATAAACCAGCTATGGTTCATTGACTTCTGGAGCTTATATTAAGTTTCTCTAATAGTTCATTTGTTTTAGGAATGTAAACTTTATTAATTTCTTAAAGAAGGTCCTTAAGAATGCAAACTCTTTTTGGTGTGGACTAGTTGACGCAAGAATGAGAACATAATTATATCAAAACCTACGGAGTATGTGAGGGGATTTTTCTTTAAGATACAAGTGTGTTTTAGAGGAAGAAACCTTTATATGAACAATACATGTAACATTGTCAAAGAGCAACAAATATCTAAATGTAAGCGATAATAGGAGAATATTAGTTTGCATCTCTGCTGAACTGAGTGTTAAAACAAGAAGAAAAACAAAGAATAAAAGGTTATTAAAAGGAAAATGTTTGCACTAAAATCGTTCCAAGCAAAAATGTCTTATTACTTAAAACATATTTTTTTTGTGGTTACATTTACTCAAGTACTTGCTATTCTTTTAGCTATTATCAGTACTTCCTTCAGGTATAATGAATTTTGGAGTAAAAATATAACGTGTGTTTTAACTTCATGGATGCCAGCTGCTTTGGCGGAATACTGTACAAGAAGTGAGCTGTGTTCCACCTACCATCAAAGGAATCCCTTTGTTTCTCAGTTTTCCCAGAGGACAAAGAGGAGAAATGGTTTTGCTCTTGTTGTCTCACAGTGATACTGTGGGACCGCCACTGATGGAGCACTTTTCAGAAGTGCAGAGATCCCTGGATGTGCTGTGTTACTGCTGTTCCCAAAGATTCTTCAGTGCGCCATCTGGGACAGGGAAGGGCTCGCATAGGGAATTTCCCATGATAACCAGTTCACTCCTTCTTTAGTACCTATCTTCGGTTTCCTTTAACTGTTCTTAATGAAAAATCTTTAAAATGCCCTAGCTGGTTTGGCTTAGTGCAGTGATGGCGAACCTATGACACGCGTGTCAGAGGTGACACGCGAACTCATTTTTTTGGTTGATTTTTCTTTGTTAAATGGCATTTAAATACATAAAATAAATATCAAAAATAGAAGTCTTTGTTTTACTATGGTTGCAAATATCAAAAAATGTCTATGTGTGACACGGCACCAGAGTTAAGTTAGGGTTTTTCAAAATGCTGACACGCCGAGCTCAAAAGGCTCGCCATCACTGGCTTAGTGGATAGAGCGTCGGCCTGCAGACTGAAGGGTCCCAGGTTCGATTCTGGCCAAGGGCACATGCCTGGATTGTGGGCTCAATCCCCAGTAGGGGGGCATTCAGGGTGCAGCCAACCAATGATTCTCTCTCTCATCATGTTTCTATCTCTCTCTCTCCCTCTCCCTTCCTCTCTGAAATCATCAATAAAGATATATTTTAAAAAAGAATTTAATCTTATAAAAAATATAGTATGTGCTTTTCTTTCACCTTACGCAGTCATTCTCACACTGTGCTATCAGAAGTAACAGAATCACCCACTTGCTTTCCTGAGTTTCCCTGCATCCTCTCTTTCCACCAGGCCATTCGGCTGCCCATCTCAGTGCTCCCATTGGATCGGTCCTTCTCTCCAGCTAATTTACCCCTGCTTATAAGAAGCCTTGGGCTGGGAAACCGGATAATCAAATCTGACAATAATTTTATATTAAATTAGAGCCAATGAGGCTCTTCTGGGTTTAAGGCTATGGCAGTGTATTTGTGATTGCTGTTTAGGTGTCCTGTGGCCTTTCACTTAATTGCATGGTTAGGGCTCATGCTTAAGGCCATGCATGCATGTATCTGTCTGTCCGTACATGAGTCTCATGTGTGCGCAAATGTTTAAAAGTCACTGGTGTGCATATTCAATAAAAGATCTGCCTTTGAAGAAGGTAAGATATCTGTAACATATTATTAAGGGAGATTATCAATGATGTAGTTTCCTATATAAGTTTAGTCTTCAGAAACATTGCAGTTGGTGTTGTAAAATGTTAGCCATGAAAGACAAAGTTATTTTCTCTTTTGTCTATTTCGCATGGGGGTCCATAATCCGGGGTTAAGTGTGCATATGGTATTTAATATTGACTCTCCTTTTCATAAAAGCCCATGGACTCAAATTTGGCCCATTTGCCAAAATACACAACATAACAACGATGAGTTTATCCAGTTCTACCAGAGAAGACTACTCTTCTTAAATTAGTGTCTGACTTCTGCAATGCCTTTCTAAGCAAAGCCTATTTAGAAGCCTGTCTAATTTCCAGCTGCAAACATTTTTCTTTTAAAGACCTTAAAAAGCCCAATTAGAGCCAAGCATGACGATGATTGGGAAATGACACCGAGAGCGAAAGAGGCTGCGCCCTCACTTCCCTCTAGCACTATACCTGGTGTCTCGCGTGCGAGTTCCTTCGTCCTCGGCTAGAAGCATTATCAGAAATACAGGATGAAAAAGAAGACAGAGTAAACACAGCAGAGATACAAGATACAGACCACAGGGTCTTACAATTTATCCAATATAATGAATTCCTCAAGTCACGGGAAATAAGAACTCTTGCTGAGCTGCAGAGCGACCCTGACAAGGGACCTGTATATTTTGTGCCACCTTATTCGCACGAGTTAAAACAAAACATTTTATCAGGTAGCTCTTTTCCTTTTTGTACAAATTATGGCCTTTTTTTAAAAAAAAATAAAGAGGGCTTTCTCTTTTTGCCAGCATAATAACACCCACATTTATTTCCTCTTCTGAAGGCACTCAAACCAAATATTCTTTTCTCTCTGACTTCAGGAAATATTATATTGATTTTCTGGGAAAGCGAAGAGCCCCAGGACAGACTTGGACATAATGGCCTGCCTCCTTTTATGAGAGGCTGAGACCATTATAGTAAGAAGCATGGAGATCAGCCACCCAGATGGCTGGTGCCAGTACCTTGACGAATGTTTCCAAATCCCCATTAAACAACTTAGCATTATACTGTGAGCGGGGTCTGGACTTCCTGTGTTTCTGGGGCTTAGGGGGAACATTTGGAGGCCTAAGGGAAGGGAATATAATTACTGAGCATGGCAGAAATCAAACAACAGACGAAACACCCATAGGTCACATCGAAATTACAAAACACAGGAATTCCGTGTTCCTTCGCCACCCCCGCCTCGGGGAAAAGAGTCCACCCCCTTTCCTATGTATTTACTTTTATGTTTGCATCACAAACCATACAAGCTATTCATCCAGACCACTCTTTTCTCGCGTGTGGCAGTCCACATTTGTTTACTGGTTTGTTTAAAAATGATGAGCACCGCCCTGGCTGGTGTGGCTCAGTGGGTTGGCGTGTCCTCCCGTACACTGAGAGGGTGAGGGCTCCATTCCCAGTCAAGGCACATACACAGGTTTCGGGTTCGATCCCTGATCAGGGTGCGTGCGGGAGGCAACTGTGGGATGTTTCTCTCTCACAATGTATTTTTCCCCCTTTCTCTCCTCTTCTCCCTGCCTTTCTCTCTAAAATCAATAATAAATTAAAAAAAGATAAGCATCACTAAACGGAACTGAGAACTATTTGGCCGAGTGTTACAAACCAAGGTTTGCGATTTGTGTTATTCAGCTTACAAGTCACACAGAGCACACGACAGGTCATAAAAACGAGGGCTCTGATAGATCCCAACATGAGAAATGAAAGATCCTATTTTTAGTTACAACATAATGCTTCGATGCAAATAACATCATATCTGTTCAATATCCCTCCGCTGTTAATGGGATTTGATTTTATGCAAAAGTAGCTGTTAATGGATCACGAGTGAAAAGATGGAGTTGGGTTTCAATGCTATTTCTTGGGAAGGGGTGTACACACTCATGTGAATTGTTATTTCTTTAAGGCTACACTGCCTCACCACCTAGATACGTGTAGAGTATTGGGATGTACCAGTCCTTTCTGTCCTGGACTCCCTCCATCTCCAGTCTGTGTGCTCTGGTGGATAAGCCCGTCTCTCTGGCGTGCGCACACCATGCAACCTGTATCCTCTTTAGAAACCTTGTAGCATCTTGCTCTGTCATGGGCGAGGGAACCTTTTCTGTCCTCTCCCTTTAGAGCAAAGAGGCCCAGGATTATCCGACTCAACGTCTACAGCTGTGCTGAATGAAATACACGACAGAAGAGTCCCTAGACCTCTCTCTGTGGACGTTCCAATGTAAACTTTTTAGGTGGAAGGATCTCCATCACACCTGGAAGTCAGGTAAAGCCCTTCGTTTTAAGCGGCAAACTCTCTAGGGAGAATTTGCGCTCATTAAAGTTTAGGAAGGCCAGTTTGGAAAGAAAATCCGGGGGAATTTACGTGGAGGCCCACCCAGCTTCATAAGATATCACCACTGCAATCAACAGCAGTAGCCTGAGCCCCACGGTGCTTGAGAGGTGAAAGGGGCAAATGTCCAGAAGCAAATAGGGAAACTCATAGCAGGCAGCAGGTAATAATCTGCCGCAGCTGAAACATCTGAAATCTCTTTTATACACTGAATCCTGGGCCGTCCACAGAGGAAAGGATCTGGTAGATTTAAAAAGAAGGTGCCCACCAAAGAGGTTAACCACATGAGCTTCATTTTATCCACCCCTTTCATTATTCTGGGAGTGTTTGAAAATGCAGACTTTATTTCTGTTGAGGTTTGATGAGCCCAACAGATCAGAAGACAACTGCCATTGAAAAGACAGTTTCTACTGCTCCCAGTTCTCAGAGGAGGTGCAGCCAGTCCACCTGGGGGCACCTGGGCTGGTCAGGAGACAGAGGGAGCCAGGGAGAATGTGGGCAGGAGCCTTTGTTGTGGTTCCTGTGGGAGGGAACAGCCAAGGCAGGTAAACAGGTTTCGGATGGGCCAGTCTGAATAACCTGGGTGGGCTATGGGGCCTGGGAACTGGCCCTGGTTGTCTGGTTCCTGGCCTTTGGCTGAGTGGGAGGGAGAATAGTGGCCCTGATGTCAAGTAGCTGCGGCACCAGCTCTGGATTAGTTGGTTTGTATGCAAACGGCACGCTTGCAAGCAAGCCCTTTACTATCTCCAGGAATTGGCTGACCCTCAGAGGGGCAGTCCCTTCAGAGTCAGCAAGACTCCAAGACATCAAAGCGTCAAATAAAAACTAGAAGGCGTGGTTATTACAAAGCTCAACAGAACTTCACAGCTGATGATATCTGGAGCAGCTGACCAAGCTAAGACGATACGAACACAGGCTCGTTTTGTTTGGTCACTGATTCATGGGACAAGCAAACTTGTAGCTGGAGCCAAAGCCCCCAGTGGCACCGGACAACTGTTCCTGCACGACCTGGAGATGCAGAGTAACCCGTTGCTGGGGCTACTACAGGGATGTCTTTTGAGTTTTCTACCAAACGCCTGAAAATCGCTTCTCCCAACGGTCCTAAAGTGAGGCAAATGTGGAGATACTAACGCCGTGAAAGCAACTTGAAATGAAAACAAGCTGCCTGAGCGCTTATCAAAGCGCTTCCCAGGGCCGAGGGGGCTTATCAGGCAGACTGCTCAAAGCCGGGGCCATTCAACATGGTCTGACTCGTTCTGGCTGTGTGCTTGCCTCACACCTTCCCGGTAACCTGGCTGCCTCTGTAGGCTGCCCACGTGGAGAGAAGGTGCCCGTCAGAGGGATGTGAGTATCGAGTCCATTCAGCAAGCACAGTTCTCACTGAAAATTACTATGTTTGCATTCCTTCCTTTTTGAAAAAAAATTCTTGAAGTGCCTTACATTAATTATAATTTAGAAACAACGGGTAAAAGCGTTGATCGTGCAAAGAGATACTATATGTAAAAAAAGCTCCATAAGCCGCATATTACTATGTAGAGGTACTATTCCTCTTTGTCACTGATATGGGGAAGAAACACCTCAGTATTTCTGTCAAGTTTTGACAAGTCAGTAGCTGTATCTTCGGAATTGGTTCACCAAAAAGTAAGAGGGTTTCCTTTTGAATAAATGACCCAGCGGGAACGTTAGAGAGCCTTGAGCATTGACTTGCCAGTGACTGCAACAGGCACACCGGTGTCCTGACTGCCTCGCACCTCCAAGAGAACTCAACTTCAAAAGTGTCATCTGGCTGTGTCAATCAGAATGATCTCTGGCTGTTGAGCAAATGTGAACACAGACAAATAAAAGTTGCCGCAAACGTTCCCCAACTCAAATCAGAATCAGCTTCCGAAAAGGCTTTTCTTTCTCAGCACTAGTTTCAAAATCCTTTCATGAATTGAAAAAAAAAAGAATGGAAAGGAAATATGGTTATAGGCATTAAAAGTTAAATCTTTCACGTGAACCTGAAAGGGGTAGAGAGCTAAAGTCCTGAGAGTATTGAACATAGCTCTGATTTTTGTCCAACATGAGGGAAAGCAGGCACAGGATGCAACTAATCAGACTTCCTATTTGCTAACACAGTAGATATGCACATAGTGTTGCTTGTTAATTAAATTATCAACAGTCTTCTCGGACTTTTTTCTAGAAACTTGTAAGTGTTCTGATTAGATAAAACAAACCCATTCAATTGAGGTCTTTTTTCTGAGTCTGCTCATTAAAGAGCTTTACGGTTCCTTTGGGAAATCCTCGGGTCCGCCAGAGCAAATCCTGTTTTGTGAGAACCTCAAACATTTCACATTACTGTGTTTTGTCAAGCCCAAACTATCTTCCACGGTCATTAACAGAGTATGTTCATTCTTGCATTTAAACGGCTGCTTCTTGTTAAAGGAAAAAGTGAGTGAGACACAACATGGGTTATGATAAAATGTTTTCCTACCTTGTAGTCATATACTCAGCTCTATGACCTGCAGGGAAAAAAAAAAAAATCAAAGGAAGTAAATGGAATGGAATCCGTGGAACGCATTTGGTAATGTTTTGTATCATCTGTCCACTATTTTAAAATTCTGAGTTTATAATAACTTACATAATTTATGGCGGAAAACATGAGGGTTGCATATAGTGATAGGCAAATAATTCAAAGTAAATATTTCATAAAATCTATACATAAAATTTAATAAATTCTATAGACTGGAGAAACATGTTTTACTTGGCAATTTGAGGCAGGGCTATTTATTTACTTAAGTAAGAAGTGACTGCTTGATCTTAACTATAAGTTCAAGGATGAAATACAAATAAAACATATCCCAGAATGTTGGTTATTCCCTCTGGCTTGATTGTCACCTCGTGGGGGAGAAGCAGGGGTTACACAGGATTGGGAGAACTCAATTTCCTTTAGATTACATTGGTGTTCTTTCTATAATATGAAATCGGTGAGAGGCGTTGCATTTTCTAATCAGAAATGACATTTGCAGATATTAAAGTAGAAGGACATTAAATTACGCTACATTCCACCAACTTGTAAGCTAAAAGTCCTCTGTTATTTAAAATGTGAGGTTCTTCTCATACATTCAGACTTCTTGACTTGTTTTAAATAACAGCTCTCTCTATTTGTGGTGTTCCTACAAACTGTGCTAATTTCAAGTCTGAATGTGTCTGTGGTTGCTGTCTGCTCTTTCTTACATTTAGGGTGGAGCCGTGGGAAGGGGTGTGGGAAAGTGAGCCATTCAACTGGTTTTGTTTGCAAAATGATGATATGGTCCTCAAACAGCTTGAAGATACAGCTTGGCAGAGAATGGTCATGTTGTTGTAGCACAAACAGGTGAGCCAGTGACTCAGACTGGTAGGGCAGGGCCAATATAACAACAGTAGACAAAGCTGGCTTATTGGGAATGGTACATGAATACTCTCAGGCTGCGAAAGAGACTTTTACTCTATTATCTGCTTTTCAATAACTAAGTAATACAAAGTTTTCCATGAATATCTATTTACTAAACAGGAAGCAACATTTAATATCAGAAAATACCTTTTCAATACAGATCCAGGCCACTGTTGGCAGATTCAGGGTTTAGCCATGATTTGGAGGGGCGGGTGAAGGGTAAGGAAAAGAATTAGATTTTCCCCTGCTACCATTTAACGTAAGTCCCTTCCTTTCCTGGCCTTCTGCTACTTTTTGGGGAGAAGAAAAAAAGAACTCTAGAATAATTTAAGGCTCTTTGTAAGTGGGAGAAGGTCTATCAGGAAGTGGGCATGGCAGACAGTGAGCCGAGTGTGGCATGTGGTACCTATGGGATATCCTTCAGCACGAAGCTGGCTATACAGAGTTAGAGTTCAGAGAACAGGCAGGGCTGGTGATTAAAATTTGAGAGTCACTACCATTTCTGTTGTGCTGGGGCTATGGGACCTAGCCGAGATCACCCAGGGTGAGTCATTAGGATGAGGAAAGGGTTGAGGAACTATCTGGCTTGTGTTGTATTGTATTCTGTCATGTTGCATACTTTATTATAACATAAAAGGATGATATAAACTACCTAGTAACAACAATAAAGACAGCAATGATATCTACACATTTATTTTGGTGCTGTTGGAAGCACTTTCTATGTATTAATTCAGAACTTTCAAAAACAATGTTATTGAGTAGGTACTAGTATTATTCTTCTTATTTTACACTAGAGGCCCAGTGCACAAAAATTTGTGCACTCGGGGGTAGGGCGTCCCTCAGCCCGGCCTGTGCCCTCTCGCAGTCTGGGACCCCTCGGGGGTGACCACTTGCTGGCTTAGGCCTGCTCCCCAGGGGATTGGGCCTAAGCTGGCAATCAGACATCCCTCTGGCAGCCCGGCAGCCCTTGGGGGATGCCCACTTGCCAGCAGGGAGCAGACCTAAGCTGCAGTCGGACATCCTTAGCGCTGCTGAGGAGGCAGGAGAGGCTCCTACCACCACCGCTGTACTGGCAGCCATCAGCCTGGCTTGTGGCTGAGCAGAGCTCCCCATGTGGGAGCGCCCTGACCATCAGAGGGCAGCTCCTGCATTGAGCGTCTGCCCTCTGGTAGTCAGTGTGTGTCATAGTGACCAGTCATTCCCAGTCTTTCTGCTGTTAGGGTCAGTTTGCATATTACCCTTTTACTATATAGGATAGAGGCCTGGTGCACGGGTGGGTGCCGGCTGGTTTGCCCTGAAGGGTGTCCCGGATCAGGGTGGCGGTCCCGCTGGGGTGCCTGGCCAGCCTGGGTGAGGGGATGATGGCTGTTTGCAGCTGGTTGCACCCCCTTCAGAGTGGGGGTCCCCACTGGGGTGCCTGGCCAGCCTGGATGAGGGGATGATGGCTGTTTGCAGCTGGTCACACTCCCTTCAGGGTGAGGGTCCCCACTGGGGTGCCTGGCCAGTCTGGGTGAGGGGCTGAGGGCTGTTTTCAGGCTGGCGGTTTTCTTTTATTCTGGGATTTATTTACCTTCTATGGCTGTCACTGGAGCTGAGAGCTGGCTTTAGTTCTGAGGCCGGCTCCAGCTTGAGGCCTTGGCTGCTGAAAGCAGGAATCTAGGGTTTGTTTGGGTTCTATAATTGCAACATTGTTTCAGTCCTGCTCGCTCCAGCTCTGATGGCTGAAAGCAGGTATCTGGGTTTGGTTTAGCTTCTATAATTGCAACATTGTTTCTTAGAGTGCAGCTCAGAGGCCAGCAAGGCAGGCGGGGAACCTTGGCTTCCTCTATCACTGGAGCAAGCAAGCCTCCTGTTCGCTTCAGCTGCCTGGCTGCCAGCCGCCATCTTGGTTGGCAGTTAATTTGCATATCGCCCTGATTAGCCAATGGGAAGCGTGTTGGAGGTACGGTTAATTACCATGCTTGTCTATTATTAGATAGGATAAGAGACTGGACATAGAGAAGGCAAGAGACTTGCCTAAGGTCATGCTGTTATATGTGGTGGCTCTGGCACTAGGGTCCAGGTTTGTTTTAATTCTAGACCGGAGCTCCCAAGTAACATATTGTAAAATTGTAAGTCTTTTTTCCCTCCCATCAAATACTTAGAAAGACCCCAGAAGAAAGGTACGGATTATGCCTTACACCTCCATCTGCTCCATATGGCTAAATATGAACTACCGAAGGTTTGATAAATTTAACAAAATTATGAAATAAGTTTAATAAATACTTTGCTATTTTTTTAAAATATCCCAACCAAATGTTCTCTCGAGTTGGAAAAAGATCATATATAAAATGGCTTAAGATCATTTTGCTCCATCCATCCATGGTTAATAGTATGAGATAAAAAATTAAAAACCTGTGAAAGATGCATTTTGATTAATGAACCATGAGCAAGCTTTGTAAGGACTAGCCTCCAAAGAATAACCGCCACCACCACATCCATTTTCTTCGGCAAATAGTACAGAGTGTGTCTCAACTGATGAATGAGGTTTTATTTTTTAATCAGTATCATCATTAATAGATCAATAACACACAAGCTTAGAAGAACCTGCTTCCCAGAGAAGTGTGAAAGCTTCCAGTGGTCAGAAGATTCGATTTCAATCATTTCCTTTGGAAGGTTACTTAATTATTAAAAAGAACAGACAACTCATTCCCCCTTTCCCCTAATACATGCCATTTGGAGGGAAAAAAAATGACTCAGGGTTATCTTGTTCTTGATATGAACACCTAATTTGCCCACTCTTACGTCTTCACTTGAGAATTAGGAAGTACATTATTTTTCATGCCTAAATGTATTTTTTCTCCACAGACTATAAGGAAAAACTAAAATACAGTTTGGTGGCCATTTGAGATTTTAAAAAACCAATTAAATAAAATATTTAACATGTGCACAACTCAAACAAAACGAAGGTCCCTAATGAATGACTGATCAGGACTCCTGCCATTACTTCCCAGTCCCTTTTCTTCCTTAATATCAATTACTGCAGGGCTTTTCTAAAAATCAATTGCTTACAATAATCTTCTCTTTTGAAAGTATATTTGTACTCCTATTTAAAGACAGGAGTCTTAAGACAGTGTGAAGATAACCTATGTGATTCCTTTGTCAGAAACCTCACGCCCGACACTTGAAATAATATAACATGGAACTCAGCTTCCAGTCAGACTTTCTGTGCTTTGCAAGCACTGCACTGATACTTACATCCCCTTAATTCCAAGCATTGCAGACTAAGAAGCCAATGTGAACATGAAGGCTCGCTACTAAAAAGGAAAAAGGTTTCTGTGTTTACTGACTGGGCTCAGCTGAACTTCTCCAATTTGAAAACAAATGATATTACAAAAGGATGTTACGGGTTGCTGAAGGATGAAGAAGATGATGACAACTTTGGTCTTAACAGCTCATGATGTTTCTTTCTATCTCGATAGTTTTCAAAGATTTGGAATTCTGAATTTCGATGGTGCCACTTTAAGAGCCTAATGTAGTTGCTCAGAAATGGTGTAAATCAAAGGATGTGTTCGGCCACTGGTAGCCTGCCAAAGTGAGCAGCAAGACAGGCCAAACACATGTCTGCAGTTATAGTTTCGGCCGTGTACGATCAACTGCGAAATCCTGGGTTAGGCTCTATTTGTTTTTACGACGAAGGCAGTTTCTGGAGCAGTGGGGCCGGTATAATTCAGAGATATGATTTCTATATAAAAAGTCAGGGCCGTCCCCAAGCACACCGTCTGATCCTGTGCTACTAACTTAACTTAGCCAAACCTAGCCTTGGGTTCCTCCATAAGGGCTTGTGGCTGCATTATCTCACCGTGGGACAGGCGCCACAAACTCTCCTACTGTCCTTCGGTGTAAGCCTATTAACACGCACAGGGCTCGCATGGAAAGCCAGCAGGCTCACAATGGTCAGCTAAAAGGTGGGGCGTGCTCTTCATGCTTAGTTTTTCTCCGGGCAAAGCTGCCAGTGTCAGCCCCAGGCAGTGACCAACAACTGGGGTGCTGCCAAGCCTCCACGTGGGGCAGGCCCGGAAGCAGAGAGGTCTGCCACCGGCGGGCAGAGGCCAGTGTGCCTGCTGCCACTGGGTGGGAAGCGTCCAGTGTCACATGCAGAATAAATCTCGTCCGGGAAGGCCTGGGACACCTGTCACAGCTTGTGTCACTAGGACACTGGAAATGACTGAAAGGAATTCCAAAGGAAAGAAATCCTGGCTTAGAGTTCACAAGGTACACAGCTCAGCAGCGAAAGAGAATCTGGAGCGTGGATTCAGCAAATTGGCTACAATACAGCCCTAGCTAACAATGGCATGTAAAAGAATATTAGCCGGTGGGGCTCTCTCTCCCGGAACATAAGGGAATCTGTGTAGAAGGAGTTCCATAAAAGTTTCAGAATGAGATCCCAAGCGTATTAACACACATGTCTGCGTGCGGTGCCAAGAATGAATTCACCCACTGCTTAATTCCCTCCGGCTCGCAATTTCTAAAGTGGTATCCAGTCCGGCAGGGAAGGACTCTGTGCCTAAATATTCATCTACACGTATGATAACCTATGCTTTGGGTCTGGCAGCTGATCTTGGGGCACCAGTGAAATATCAGGCAGTTGTAGAACATGGAGGGGGAAAAAGGCTGATGCTGTGAAGGGAAAAAGAGGAAAAACTGGGACACAACTGCTAAGGTAGAACAATTCAAAGGATAAAAAGATCTTGTTTTTTAAAAGCTGAAACCTCAGTTACAGAAGAGCTGAAAGACTAGTACAGGGAACATTCATGTACCCTTCACTTAGATTTCCCAATTGTTAACATTTTGTCACATTGGCCTTATTGAGCTTGCTCTCCTCTCTCTCTCTCTCTCTCTCTCTCTCTCTCTCTCTCTCTCTCTCTCTCTTTTCCTGAGCCATTTGGAAAGTAAGCTGCAAACATTATGACACTGAGCAAGAATTTCTTAAGAATAAGTTTCTTGTCCTTCATAACCATACCACCATATATAAGAAAATTAATATTAATTCAATAATATCATCTAACAGTCTATATTTAAATTTCCCAAATTGTCTTGAAAATGCCTTTTTATAACTTTTGCTTTTGGATTCAGAGTCAAATGAAAGTTCATACATTGTGTTTGGTTATTTTATTTTTTCAAGACACTTTTTAGTAGTATAAATGTTAATTTTTTCCAAGTGAAATTGGCCTTTTAGCTTAGAGTCTGGCATCCTCACTGTAATACAAGGAGCCGTAGGTCATGATGACCTTTTTCTGTGTACCAATTCCCTGAGGATAATAGGTCCTTTGGGGAAAACAAGGAAATAAGGGGATAGAAAAACTTCTTTATGGGTAAGGAAGTTTCTAGAATGGTAGGAGGCAAGAACTGACTTCAAACAGGAGTAATCTGGTTTTGTCCTGAGTTACTCCCACAACCCAGTCCCCTCATTTCCCGCTTCCATACATATTCTTTCTGTAACTTCTAGCAGGATCTAGTATGAATAAAAGATAATTAAAGTTACAGACTATGAGGCACTTAAGACAGAGACTTTGCTTATATTAATTTTCCCTTTTAAATTTCCTGAAGATAGAAAAACAGCCAACATTTATATAGCCCCCTTTGCCTATAATCCTTCCCCCCCGTCACTTTTCTCATTTGAAATTTATAGTGTCCAGTAAAATATGCAGCTCAGAACAGTGACTGACACAGAGAAAGCCTTGTAAGTGGTAACTATTGTGTTTTTTGCTATTATCAGAGAGAACAATACATTTAGTTAGGTTATTTCTTCACTAAAACCAATGCCTACAGAAAGAAAAAGTCACCTGAACTGGTTTTACTGGTTTCTAGAGTCGAAAAAGGCATTCAATGGGACAAAAATATTGGCCCAATAAAACAAATGGGTGGGGCTGGAGGGGTGGGAAAGTCCAAGAAGGGAGGAAGTGACGTGGGCGGAGAGGGGGCAAGGGGGGTCTCAGGTGGGGGCCGATGCAGCTCCTTCCGACTTCTCTAGGGTTAGGAGCAGCGTGCTCTGCAGATCCTCCCTCGGGAGCTCAGTGGTGGCTATTCAGCCCTCCCTGGATTTCCCTGTTCTTCCTCAAGGTTAGCGCCAAGCTCATAAAGAAAACAGTTCCAGGGAGAACTTGGTAATTCCAGAAACAGACAAAGCCAAATCTAAACAAACGGTGTCCTCTGCTTCTTAAAGCACAAATCCCCCATCCACACACTTCACGGGATACATACACGATACAATATATAATCCACGTCACCTTCCCATCTACTTCACATAACTGACCTTCTCCGAGGGTCCTCTGCAACAAGTCATGCTTGGCTTGAAGTTTGGTGATGAGATTACTACCTTCCAAATATTCTCTGAGTTTCTGCAAAAGGAAAAAGTCATTTTTAACTTTAAAAAGATATTTAAGCCCTCGCCAGTTTGGCTTAGTGGATAGAGCATCGGCCTGCAGACCAAAGGGTCCCAGGTTCGATTCCAGTCAAGGGCACGTACCTTGGTTGCAGACTCCTCCCCGGCCCAGGCCCTGGTTGGGGGACGTGCAGGAGGCAACCAATCGATGTGGTTCTCTCACATCAATGTTTCTCTCTCTTTCCCTCTTCCACTCTCTCTAAAAATCAATGGAAAAATATCCTCGGGTGAGGATTAACAACAACAACAAAATTCAAGCCCAGCTGATGTGGCTCAGTGGTTGAGTGTCAACCTATGAACCAGGAGGTCATGGTTCGATTCCCGGTCAAGGGCACATGCCTATGTTGCAGGCTTGATTCCAAGTGTGAGGTGTGCAGGAGGCAGCCAATTAATGATTCTTATCATTGATGTTTCTCTCTCCCTGAAATCAATAAAAATATATTAAAAATATAGTTCATGTCAAGGGACATCCCATAGGCTATCTAGAATCCAGCTCCTTTTATTGTGTAGATCCTAGACCCTTGCTACTCAAAGTGTGGTCTGACGGGAGCCTGTTCGAGGTGCAGACGCTCAGGTCCCTCCCTCCCCAGACCTATCGAACCCAGAACCTACATTTTAATAAGTTCTCCTGGTGACATGTGTTTCCATCAAAGTTTAAAAGTTCTATTTTAGTGCCGTCCTCTTTAAATGTGTCTGTATATCAGAATTACCTGAGGCGCTTTGAAAAAGTACTAGCTCCTAAACCCTATCCCAGATGGACTGAATCAGAAACGCTGAGGGTGGACAGGGGCCCTTATTTTAATAAAGAACCTAGGTGATTCTGATGGGACTCCAGAAGCAGTGTTTGGGGACCCCAGAGCTGAGCTCCAAGGGTGGCTAGGGAAGCAATAGATGTGTGAGTAACGTCCGGCCCAAGGACTGTATAAGGCCTGCGAAATTATTGGGTCTGGTCCTGCGAAGGCATTAGGGATGAGTTAATTAAATGTTTGACCAAATGTAGCAGGCTAATTTTTAAGTTGATAATTTTGTATGGCCCACGAATGATGTTATAAAGATCCAAATGGCCCTTGGCAGAAAAAAGGTTCCCCATCCCTGTAATAGACGCACCATGAAGTAGAACTGCTCGGTTTCCTGCTGGTTCGCTCTTCTCTTGGCGATGCTGGGCTTACTCAGGTAGGTCTCAGAGACGGTGGACCTCACAGACTCTGTGGAGCGGCTGTGTTGGAAGCATTCAGAAACATCATAGTCTTCGATGGTGACCATATCTTGTATCGTCTGCAAGGTGGCTTCAGTCGTTTTCTTGACCTGGGAACAGAAACGTGTTTCTCACATTAGTACATAATTTCGTGAATCCCACAAACACGTAGTGAGAATCCATTCTGTCAGCAGAGATGAGGACGCAGGACCTGCCCCAAGAGGTTCAGAGTCTATTAGGGGAGTCAGGTAAACAATACCTCATATCACCAATATAAAGGAAAGGCTTTCTTCAAAATTATCCTGAGGGCATCACTTTATGTGTGAGTCCTTATAAATCTCACGTATCACTGGGTGTTCACTCAATTACATTTATTTTTTTCTCTCTTTATTGATTAAGGTATTACATATGTGTCCTTATCCCAACATTCCCCCCCCCCCCCCCAACTCATGCCTTCACCCCCCTGGTGTCTGTGTCCATTGGTTATGCTCATATTCATGCATACAAGTCCTTTGGTTGATCCCCCTTACCCCCACCCTCCCCTACCTTCCCTCTGAGGTTTGACATCCTGATCGATGCTTCTCTGTCTCTGGGTCTGTTTTTGTTCATCTGTTTATGTTGTTCATTATATTCCACAAATGAATGAGATCATGTGATATTTATCTTTCTCTGACTAGCTTATTTCACTTAGCATAATGCTCTCCATTTCCATCCATGCTGTTGCAATGGTAAGAATTCCTTCTTTTTTACAGCATAGTATTCCATTGTGTCGATGTACCACAGTTTTTTAATCCATTCATCTGCTGATGGGCACTTAGGCTGTTTCCAAATCTTAGCTATGGTGAATTGTGCTGCTATGAACATAGGGGTGCATATATCCTTTCTGATTGGTGTTTCTGGTTTCTTGGGATATATTCCTAGAAGTATGATCACTGGGTCAAATGTGAGTTCCATTTTTAGTTTTTTATCAATTATATTTATTAAAAATAATCTTTTTAATTGAAGTAAAACCACATATAGAAAAATGCACAGCCCGGCCGGCATGGCTCAGTGGTTGAGAATTGACTTATAAACCAGGAGGTCACGATTCAATTCCTGATCAGGGCACATGACAGGGTTGCAGGCTCAATCCCCAGTAAGGAGTGTGCAGGAGGTACCTGATCAGTGATTCCCTTTCATCATTGATGTTTCTCTCTCTCCCTTCTTCTCCAAAATACTATATAATAAAAGCCCAGCAACCATAATGGCATAATGACCAGAATGACTGCTCGACCAGTTGCTATGAGGTGCACTGACCACCTCTTGATCCCTCCCCCACCCCCGCCCTGCAGGCTCCGATCACCAGATGGTGAACAGGGAACCAGGGTGGGTGGCGGCGGAGCGGTACTGTGGACTGGCAAGAGGGTGGAAGATGGCCCTGATTGCAGGCTAGGCCTAGGGACCCTACCTGTGCATGATTTTGTGTGCTGGACCTCTAGTCAATAATAAAAATATATTTTAAAAAATGCACAGACTGTAAGTGTATGGTTTGATGAATATCACAAAATAAACACTTATATGACCACCACTCAGATCAAGAAATAGAGTACATTACGAATATTTTTGTGCTTCTCCCAACCATCACACACCCTTTTGTCCTCTCCAAAGGTATCCACTATCTTGATTTCTAACATCAGATATCAGTTTTTCTCTTTTTGTACTTCAAATAAATGGAATCTTACAGAATTTATGATTTTTATCTTGCTTCTTTTGTTCAACTTTATGTAGTAAGATTTATTCATTTCTTGTGAGTATAGTATTTCATTGCTGAATACTCACTATAAGAATACAACATAATTCATCCCTTTTACTGTTGACAGATGACTTACTTCTAGTTTTGGGCCATTACGAATAATACTGCTATAAATACGTTTTTGTTGGACCATACATACATGAGTAAAATTGCTTAGAGGGTATGCCAGACTGTTTTCCAAAATTATTGTTCTAACTTGTATTCCCACCAGCAAGGTAGGAGACTTCCTGTTTCTCCACATCCTCAAGAGTTGGAATTGCCTGCTTCTAAAATTTAAACCACTGTGTTGGTTGTATAGTGGTATCTCATTGTGGTTTTAACATGCATTTCTCTGGTGCCTGAGATTGAGCATATTATATGTTTAAGGCAATTTGGATTTCCTCTCGCGAAAACACTTTGTTCAAATCTCTTGTTCAATTTTCTGCAGGTTATGAGTATTTTTTTTTTAACTTATTTGTAAATAGATATGAGCCTTTTATTAGTTATATGTGTTGTAAATATCTTTTACTACACCGTGCCTTGGTTTTCACTCTTTTTATAGTGCCCCAATGAGTGGTCTCTTATTTCAATACTAGAGGCCCGATGCACGGAATTTGTGCAAGAGTAGGCCTTCCTTCCCCCGGCTGCCGGCACTGGCTTCCCTCTGGCACCTGGGACCCGGGCTTCCCTCGCAGCCCCAGCTTCATCCAGAAGGTCGTCCGGAAGGACGTCTGGTCTAATCAGCATATTATGTTTTCATTATTATAGATGATCAATTCACCAATCTTTCCCTTTATGATTCATGTGTTTTGTGTCCTTATTTAAGAAATATTTTTCCTATCTCATGGCCATAAAGATACTATTCTATGTTATCTTCCAGGAGCTTTTAAACTTACCTCCCACATTTATCTTCCACAGTTAGGTTGTACTCCACTTTTGCTTATCAACGTTTAACGCAAATTGATAGCTTTATCCTTTTTCCCAATGTACAGAGTTTAGAACACCTATCTCCATTAACTTCTCCTGAATTATATGCTATTTTTGTAATGTAGTATAAGAGGATATATGTAAACATCTATATATATTTAAATGGAAGATATTAGTTCTCATGTATGGTCAGTGCTCATTTGGCTTTATCTATATATTTTATATTCTTTGATCCCTACTCCCTATATTTTTAAGAAATTCATTCCTTTAGAAATTCATTCCAGCATGCTGGTGGTGAATTCTGTTTTTGTTGATGTGAAAATATCTTATTTCACCTTCATTAATGAAAGGTGTTTTTTCTAGTTGGCAGTTATTTATTTTCAATACATCAAACATATCACTGTACTTTCTTGTGGTTTCTGTGTTCCTGATGAATGAGAAGTTTGCTGTCAGTCTATCACTATTTTGAATAAACTTTGCTTTTTTTTCCCTCCAGCTGCTTTTACTAGTTCCATCATGATGTCTTTATGTAAGGATTTTAAAAAATATATTGTACCTGGAATTTTGGGGGGCTTCTTTAATTGTGTGATGTTTTTCATAATCTCTGATAAAATTTCAGCCTTTATCTTTGCAAATATTTTCTCTGATTTCTTTTTTATCATTTTTCATTCTGAGTGTTTAATTAGCATGCTAAACATCACTGTATTCTCTATACTGCTTATCTTTCTCTTCATCTTTTCTACCTTTTGTTTTTCCATGCTGTATTTTGATTATTTTCTACTGATTTGTCTTCCACTTTGACAATTTACTCTTCAGCTGTGTCTAATCTGCTGTTAAAAACATCCTCTGATTTATTCATTTGGTTACTGTATTTCTCAGTTTTAGAATTTCTAAGTGTTTCATTTCCAAATGTGTAATTTCACTGTTTATAGGTTATAGTTCCTGCTGAAATCTAAGCTTAGTTTTCATCTACTTGAACAGAGTAAGCAGCTCTTTTATAGTTTGTTTCTAAAAATCCCAATATTTGGAGTTTCTACAGTTTGTCTACAGTTATGTCTCTATTGTCTGATATGTCTGGCAATCATGTTTTCTTATCTCCTCATGTGCCTAGTTATTTTTGCTGGACATTTTTTGTAGGGTTATTTGAAATCTAGGGTGAGGTTATCAACCTCCAGAAAGAATGTTTATTTTTTCAAACCATTACTGGCACTAATATTTAAGGATCACTGGATTTTATTTTGATAAAAATATTTGATGTTCTTCTTTTTATGAACATATGGTTCCCTGTGTCAGGGGCTTCAGGTTTGGCCATGTATCATGTGAGGCAAGTGAGATGTGAGGAAATCAGCTGAGTGACTCAATCCATCATTATAGGAAGTAGACATATAAACACCATTTAAACAAAACAATATTGTAAGTAGTTACTTTAAGGGGTCAATGGGGGAAAAAGCGTACATATATAATACTTTCAACAATAAAGATTTTTTTAAAAAGTTCCTGGAGTTGTCATCAGCAAGATGGCAAAATTGGAGGTCCCCTGTTCATATCTTTCCACAACAACAATTTGGCAGCCATCCATGGACAAAAGTGCATTTGTGGGAGCTCTTGCAAAACCTTGGTGGAGCCCAAGACTGAGAAGGGCTGATGTGAGAAAGTAGGCCTGTGCCCAGATGGTAGGCTTGCCAACAGTAATCCTGGCTACAGACCCAGAAACAGACCTGTACCCCTGTGAACACAGCTAACATTTTATTTGGCCTTGGTCCACCAGCATCATCCACCAAGGAACCCAGGAGGAGTCACACCACCTGTGCCTTAGGTAAGAGGCCTGCTGACCTTGACACAGATCTAGTCCTTTTTAGCCCTGGTCAGGGAGCTGTCCTACTCTGCCCAGGGACTTGCCAGGAGACATAGTTGTCCATGCACCTGGAAGCAGACCTGTTGACTCTGGTCCAACAGCAGATCTTGAAGTGGCTCTGTAACTCAGCTCTATGCACCCCCAGCCTCAGACCAGGAGTAGTCGTGCCCACCGAGGGGCCCAATGGGGGACATGGCCATCCATGGTTCCAGAAGAAGGTCCGCCAACCTCACTCTGACTGGAGATCTTGAAGTAGCTCTGTAGCTTGGCTCCAGACAAGCTCAGCTACAATCCAGAAGCAGTTCAGCTTGACAAGGTACCAGGTGGGAGGCACTTCCGTCTGTAATCTGCAGGCAGGCCCGCCAACTTAAGTCCAATTGTGGATAATGAAGTGGCTCTGTAACTTGGTTTCAATACCTCTTAGCAATGATCTATGAGGCCTGCCTGGGGACCCAACAAAAGATTAGCCCATTCGTACACCAAGAGGCAGGCCCACCACCCTTAGTCCAACTTTGGATCTTGAAGCAGCCCTGTAACCTGGATCCAATCCTTCTCAG